CATACATACATACATATATACCTACATACATACATATATACCTACCTACATACATACATACATATATACCTACATACATACATATATACCTACATGCATACATACATAAAACTAAATGTTGCTTTGAACTGTTTGGTCTCATTTGACTTGGAAGTACGGTAAATTGTTTTTAGAAGACATTATATGATGCAAATATTAATAAATTTACAACTATATGCACATGGTCACATTAATTTAATATAACTTTATTTTATGTTGTTGACTAGTTGTTATTATGTGTCCACAATGAGTATTAGATTCATGAGACACATTTATTTTTTGTCATTAATAATCTGAATAATATTAAGGGGGATTATGTCAGCAGAATTTTCCGTTATTTTTGTAAAGTTCTCTCAACATCATCAGACCAATGTCTGTTTTAATAAAATTGATCCTTTTTATATTTAATTTCTCTTACAACATAGTTATTGAGTACAAATCTGTAAGGTTCAATTATATTTTTCATCACGATTTACTCAGGATTGTGTCTGACTTTTAATGTTCAGTATTTTATGTTTTTCATTAACATAATTATGTGTGCTGAAAAAGAGACATGATTGAGCAAAGCTTTATTTTACAACTGTTGATGAGGAAAAGAACAACTTAATAACACATCATCTGTACTCTCCACCAGCATCTGTGTTGTTTTAATATTTAATACTTAGTCCTAGTCTTTATGTTACATTAAATTGAATATACTTTTAAACAACCTTAAAATCTGAGTGAAATCTGTAAACAGGATGGGTGAAAATTCAAATAACCTTATTAAAAGGTATGCGCCCTGAGATTAATAAGGTTAATCTGCAGCCCTGTTAATTTATGCATATTATCCTTCATTTTTTCTAATTTGCAGAATGAGATGTTTGACTCAGACTGGTAAATGTTTCCACTTCAGCTGCTTGGTCTCAAGTGTGTGCACTTGTAAAAATTGATGTGACATGTTGTTTTACCTCTTCTGTTTCTGTTGAAACCAGCATTTACTGAGCTATAAGTAACGGTTAGCAGGCTTTATCTGCCCAGGATGAGAGTGAAAAGGTCAAGTCAAAAAATGAATCAAGTGAGATAAGGAGAAACGTCAGATCAGTGTGTCACAGAAGTCTCCAGCTGAGCTCAGGGGAAGAAAGGCTGGACGGCTAAAGTGACCAGGGAGCAACGTTTTCATTGAGTTAATGCAGAGTAACAGGTTTAATAAGGCAGATTCTTTAAATATTAATGTGTGGATTTCTTTAAAGTAGACAGAAAGGCAGGGTTTTTAATATTTCAGCCTGTTTTCTTTGCACACGGGGATTCATAAAGCAAAGAAACAGCTGTTTGGATCACTGTGTGTAGGAGGCTATGAATGCTTCTTCAAATGTGATTGAAGCCAACCTTTTTTTGTTTTCTTTATTCTTCCTCCCAGGGTGCAGTGTTTCTTGAAGGCATCTCAGTGAAAGGGGTCACACAGGTCACCAGCCAACCCAAGCTGGGAGAGGTCCAAAGAATGTGTCAGGAGATGGCCGAGTGGGACAAGTAAGACTCTCCTTAATTGCCCTCCTTATACCCGCCGGGGCTTGTACATAAGAATGTATGTAGGTGTACTGCTCTGGGAGTGACTCATCTGTCTCAACTATTTTTTTAAAGAGCTTCACACTTTCAGACGGGTGGTAAAGTCAGGAATAGATTTTATTTATTTTATTTTTTTGCTGGAAAATGCTGCTACAACTTTTATTTTTGCCACAGAAATTGCAGAGAGTCAGCCCTATTGCAGTGTTTTATCACAGCATAGAAGCATATCCAAACATTCATATTTCCTACACTTCTATGTACATTTTTCATTTGGTTGTACAGTATCTAAAAACTCCAACATGCAAAACATTATCTAGAAAATATGATTCTGGAGGTGCTGAACGTGTGGACACTCCTTTGCTTTTTACTCTTTATACACCAGACTAACAAGACTTTTTTCTAGATGCTGTTGTGTATATACAGTATTCCCTCGCTACTTCGCGGTTCGTTTTTCGCAGACTCGCTCTTTCGCGGCTTTTCAAAGATTGGACATGACACACAAATGGCTGATTGATGGATGAGCCGCACGATTGGCATGGATTGTTCATTTAAAATAAATGATTTAGCACCAGCTGCACCGTGTGCAGCCCACAGGTGCAGGGAGAACCTCCCTCCTGCATCATGTCATGCTCTCTGCTCTCTGCCAGCGATTGCAGCGGAGAAGTGGGCGTGGCAGAGAGCGGAAAGCATGAGCGTTTAGAGTTTAGAAACTTTGTTTAGAATATTGCCAGAGTGTGGGAAGGGTTTAAAACGTCTATATATCAGTGTTTCCCCTACCATTATACAAGCGGGGCGTGCCGTCAACAGACCCGAGCGCCCCGTCTACCGAACCCCACCCACCTCCACCCACCTGTCGGCACTAGCGTAACGCTAAACCAGCGGCTCGCAATGCAGGTGCACTAGCTAGAAAGCTAAAGGCAGCCTCTTCCTTCATGTTGACCCCCCACGCTGAACGCATCCCGCTACTCGAAAACTGTCGGTACAAACAGCGCACGGCTCAGATGTGCGTCTGTCTCTCCCCCCGCC